ACCTACCAAAAAAAAATACTATTGACTTATTTTTTAAAATATTGATTTTTATAATACTGGACATCAACTTAGTGCCTGGTAGATGTTAGACAAGTGCTCTATCACTGACCTACATCTTCCTCCTGATTTATTTAATTTTACTTTGGGGATTGAATCTAGGTCCTGTTGTAAGATAGGCCAACTCTGTACTGCTGAGCTACACCCCCAGTCCTTGATAGTGATTTTTTTTTTGTAGTTTGATACTATTTAGTTTAGTTTTTGTTTTTTTGTATATTCTCTTGAACATCTTGTGCTGGCAATGATAAGAGAAGTTGATTTTCCTTCTAGTTATCTCCTTTTTTAAGTCCTTCTGCATTGGCTAGCCCTTCCACTATGATGCTGAATGGGAATTATGATAACAGTGAATGAATATCTTAGCCATGTTGTAAAGAAAAATGTTTATAAAATTCCACCATTAATTTAACATTTGCAATGCATTTTTAATGGACCTATAAAGTCTACTAACATCCTTTTATTTCTAGTTTGTAAATATGCATATATTTCAATGATTGAGCATTGAGGTCTATTGAAATCTTGTTCTGCATCCATTTGAATATTATGTATTTGCTTTCAATTTGTTGATGTGCTAAAATTATTCTGCATTAAAATTAAACAGCATATGTGAAGAAATTGAATAAGAATAGTTAAATAAGCTGGGCAGCTCCTTTGGAGGCTGAGAGCAGAAGATCAGTTTGAAAGGGGCAGGAAGCTCCATCTCTAAGGAATCATCAAAAATTGCTGGAAGAGGAACTGTTGCTCAAGTGGTAGAGTACTACTCTTGAGCAACAGTCCAGGGCAGCACCCAGGCTCTGAGTTAAGTCCATGGACTGACACAAAAAATAAAATAGTTAAGTAAGGGAGGGATTTCCTTAAAAATTTTATTATTATAAAGGCAACGTACAGAGGTATTGTTACATAAGTCAGGTAATGAGTACATTTCTTTTTGGACAATGTCATCCCTTCTTTTGTTCTCTCCCAGTTTTTCTCAGGGAGGGACTTTCTTTTTCTTGGATGACTAGCAAAACCAGCTAGCAAAAATAAAGTTTAGGTATCTTGCAAAAGGGGAAAACCTTGGCTATAATAATTTTTTCACAAATATGGCCTTGAATAATACAATTGTATTTATGGTGACATATATTACACATATTTTAAAAAGCTCAAAATGTATTTGTATCTCATAAATATAGCAGTAACATAACACCTGTGTGTCTAGAATATATATGAAGAAATAAGCACCAGTGTCTTAGAAGAGTCTATGTAACTCTTCAAGGCCATGTTCCTTTCTCCCTATAGAAGTAAACATATTCTCAATTTTATATAAAACATGTTTTCTTTTGTAATTTTCTCTGCAAGTAACTGTAGGTAAAATGCAGTTCTACCTGTTTTTGAGCTCTATATAAATGTTTTACATTATTATCTAATCATCTGTGACTTCCTTCCTTTGCCCTATATTTTAAAAAACTCATTATTTGGAACTTAAGTTGCAGTTCTTTCATTTTTCCCCCCTAGTATTATACTGTGTTAAACCACTGCTGTTTATTTCACAGTTCTACTGTTGTTTAACACTTGAACTGTTTCTGTTGCTTTTATAACTACAACTAATGCTGCCATTAAGGCTCTTGGCATACTTGTGTAAGGAACACACACAGAACTGTTTGTAGGTAAGGGACATATTAATGGGCCATTTGTATTTCCTCTTATATGAGTGATTTTTTTTAAAAATAAGAACAGGCAACTACAGTCTAAAAGACGTGTTTTGCTATGACTTTAGTGAAAACAGGCCTGGGTTAGGGGAGAGAAGTAAAGTAGCATTGTGGAAATTCAGGTTAAATGCTTGTTTTCATTTTAAATTTTAATCTTTTACTATCATGGGGGTTTTGCATTCATTGTGATTTTTAAAATAGTTTTAGAACACTTTTAAACTTTATTGTAAAGTACTTGATTATGAAGTATTCAATTTTATGCCCAAGGCAAATAACTCGCACACCTCACCCTGTTCTCAATCCTGTCCTAGTCCAAGCTATACCTTCACTCCAGGCTGCATTTCAGCAGTCCCTTCCCGACTAGAATCCGTACCTCTATATTTGCCATTTGTTCTAGATCCATTCTCCACATGGTGGTCACAGAGGTCTTTGAAAAGATTAATCCAATCATGTTATTCCTTTGCTTTACAGTTCAAATGTAGCATACTGTACTTGGGATAAAATCCAAATTTCATGTAAAGCTGTGCATAATCTAAATCTTGCCTCCTTCTAGTCTAAAGTAAGTGAACTACCACAGCCCAGCTAAGTATTTTATTTTTTTGTTGTAGGGCTTGAACTGTGGATCTGGGTGCTGTCCCTGAGTTCTTCAGCTCAAGGCTAGTGTTCTGCCACTTGAGCCACAGCGCCACTTCCAGTTTTCTGGTGGTTAATTGGAGATAAAATCTCACAGATATTCTTGTCCAGGCTAGCTTTGAGCCTTGATACTCATATATCAGCCTCCTGAGTAGCTAGGATTAGAGGCATAAGCCACTGACGCCCGGCAAAGTGTTCTATTTTTTTTTGGGGGGGGGGTCCGGTCATGGCGCCTGAACTCTGGGCCTGGGCACTGTCCCTCAGCTCTTCAGCTCAAGGCTAGTGCTCTACCACTTGAGCCACAGTGCCACTTCTGGCTTTTTTCTTTTTCTTTTTGCTTATGTGGTGCTGAGGAATCGAACCCAGGGCCTCAGGCATGCAAGGCAAGTGTTCTACCACTGAGCCACCTTCCCAGCCCCAAAGTGATCTATTTTTAAAAATCTATTAAGTTGCTAGGCACTGGTGGCTTAAACCTGTAATCTTAGCTACTCAGAAGGTTGAGATCTGAGGAATAAAGTTCAAAGCAAATCCAGGTAGGAAAGTCCTTGAGTTTTCTACAATTAATCCCACCCCCCCACACACACACACATAAAAAAGCCGGAAGTGGAGCTGTGACTCAATTGGTAGAATGCTAGCCTTGAGCAAAAAAAGCTCAGAGACAGTGTCCAGGCCTTGAGTTTAAGCCCCCCCCCATGTATTAATTTATATACATAGCAATAAATAAATGCAGTAATTTATAAAGAAAGTATGGCTGGACATGGTTGGGTACACCTGTAATTCCAGCACATGGGGGTCTGAGGCAGAAGGATCAAAATTATTAGGACAGCATTGAGGAAAAAAAATTATGCTCTTCCTTTCCCCATTTTCAATCACAATCCTCCCAAGTAACTAACTACACCCATATATTTGAGCTATGGGAATAATTGCATTCTTTCTTGTGTGACTACACTGATATGTCTTTGTGTTTTTAAGTCTAAATGAAATTACACATGCACACATTAAAATACATAAATACTTAAAAGGAACAACGGTCTGAAGCATAGTGATGCTTATTAGTTGGGGATCTAAGATGGTCACTTCTCTAGAACCAATGTCCACCAGTGAATGTTTTTCAATATAGGATTGGCATTTAGTATTGGATACTGTGGAGATTGTGGCTCGCTTTTTCAGGGCAGGGACCAAGTATGCTTGGCTTTGGGTAAAATGTGATACTATTCCTCACAAGGAAAAGTGACTTTGTGTTCCTCCTGACTTGCAAATGTCCCACCATAGGTGAAAGAAGCTGTTCATAGTTACCTGAACCTAACATTTAATGTGATATTTAAATTTTTTTTTGTGTGTGTGTGTACCCTAGTCCTAGAGTTTGAACTCACCACCTTGAGAGCTATCCCTGAGCTTTTGTGCTCAAGGTTAGTGCTCTCTACCACTTGAACTTCTAGCTACCACTTCCAGCTTTTGAGTAGTTAATGGGAGATTAGGAGTCGCATGGACTTTCCTGCCTGGGCTGGGCTTCGAGAAGCCAATCATAGGCACAGCTACGCTGGCGCCCAGACTGTATTTCTTTTCCTTTCCTTTTTTTAAAGAATGAAATGAGGGCTTCTCACGAAGATTAGATACATGTATTTCAAATTACAATCTTCCCCTACTCGTCTTCCTTTTTAGTTTTTTTTTAAATCAGCAACTATCCTGTGCACTTTCATCATCTATTGAAAAGAGGAAGGTCTACCCTTCTCTCCCTAACACGCACGAAGGAGACCAGGGGGGGTTTTGTGTTTTCCTCACCGGTGTGTTTTCGACGCTTACAACAGTGCCCGGCATCCGCAGGAGGAGCCCGGTGAGTATCGGGTCCGGGGTGGCCCGACTGCTCGGAGCGCCACTCCCAGCCGAGTTCGCGGAGGCGATCGCTCAGGACCAGCGGCGCAACGCCTGCTTTTTGGGTGCCGCGTTCTCGGGTTGGCGGGCCGGGCCGACGCGCGGGGAGTCGGGTGTGCCAGCCTGACCCGCAGTACTTTGCACCGCAGACCGCCCGCGGTCCTCCAATCCACCTCGCCGCAAACCCCAGCTCCCCGGAGTGCCCGAGGGCTTCAGTTCTCCCGGCCGACGAGCGCACACGTCAAGGCAGAAGAGTTGTTCACGGGCCTGGGCGTCGTCAGCCCCGGACCCGAGGCGGGGGGCGGGGGGCTGCCTCCAACAGGCTCCCAGGCATGGAAACGAGTGACCGCTCACCTCAGCCAGACACACCCCGCCGGGGTGGGGGGGTAGGGAGAGAGAGCCAGAGAGCGCTCCTCACAGTTGAGTTCATCTCCGACAGAGTTTTGGCTTCGTGCAGCTCAGGAGAGAATCGCCCATTAAACTAAGCAGCCTCGCCCGTCAAACGACCCGAGAGCCGCACACGCGGGCAGAGTCGGAAGCAAAACATCCAGAAAGGCGGCGGTCCCAGAGCCACGTGAGGCGGGCACTCCCGGCTGCCCTCGCAGCGTGGACTTCAACTCCCAGCCTGCCTCTGGGCCGTTACCCTCCATGGACTACAATTCCCAGAGTGCTTCGGGAGACGCCGCCGCAACCTCTACCACTCGGTCGCCCGCCACTCGCCCCGCCTCTCTCCCGCCCCTCCCGGCTGGGTCGGCGTGCGCCTGCGCACCGGAGACCGGAGGAGTCTTACCCTAATGTAAGATGGTGGCCCGTCTGGCTGTGGAACCCACCGAAAGCCGAGAGTCTCTCTCTCAGCCGTAAAGGTCGGACTCGCTGAAGCAGTCAGGCCCGGTTCTGAAGAGTTTTTTTTTGTTGTTGTTGTTTGTTTGTTTTCCCCGACACTCGTTCAGTGGTGTTTTGTGAGGAGGCGGCAGCGCGTGGAGTCGGCTGAGGAAAAAGCGAGGCAAGGCTGGCGGGTGAGTCTATGCGGGGCTGGGCTTAGGGGAAACCCGGGGTTGACCGGCTACGAGAGAGCGGAGGCTTCGCTGGGACCGTGCAGGCCGCACCCCCCTTCCTCCCCACCCCCCAGCCTCGTCTTCACCCTCCTCCTCCTCGGCCGCCCTCCTCCTCCTCTTCTTCCTCCCTCTCCCCTCTACGCCACAGCAGTTACCACCAGGAAAAGGGAGCGGGGCCGGAGGCGGCGCGGCGCTCGCCGACTCTGCCTTCGAGAATTGCTTCCTTGGGAGAGCCGAGGACCGTTTCTCGTCCCCAGCTTTCCCCCCACATTCCCCCCCCCCCTCCCCATAGCGGCGATATTCTTAAGTCTCAGTCGCTCCCTGTTTCCTCAGCCCACTTTCCCCTCTCTGACGTCCTTTCCTACTGGCCCCCATCTCCCAGGACCAGAGCCATCCTTTCCACTCCGACTTGTGTTGCTGCTGCTGCTTCTCCTGCTTCTGCTTCTTCTCCTTCACCCCCAGTCCCCCCCCCCCCGCCCGCCCCGTCCTGCTGCATGGTCTTTTGCTCCGCCGCTACCGTTCTGACTTAGCTTTTGCCTCCCGTGGGTGCTTGCAATCAGCCTCCAGTCTGTCGGCTGGGCTAGAGCTTCTTCCGATTTGCAGTCCTTTCCTTTAACCACATCTGTCATCTCCAAACTACCCCTCAAGTGTCTGGATTGTGCTACTGGTCTTCTCACCCACCTGTTTCTCAGCTTTCTTGAGAATTGCCCTCTTTCCTATACAGATTTCTTTCAACACACGCTTCCAGAAAAAAAAGGGGGTGTGCGTGTGGGGTGGTGGTGGTGGTGGAGGAGTGCCCTGTGGTTGTTTGATTGAAAAAGTAAAAAGGAAGTTGGGAAGTGAAGTGAGGTAGGATACTATTAAACGCGATGAGTAAAAGGAGATCTTCAGCTTACTCAGGAGAGGAACGTTTTCACTTTGCTTTCAGTGATCTATTTGCGGATTATTCGCTCTGTTGGGATGTGGCTTCGGCCCTCTCTCCGTTCCATGTTTACTTTCCTCATACTACTTCTGAATTGAATTGCATTTCTCTAGAACACTCAATGTCGGTTCTGATTATATCAATACATATGGACAGAAGCATTTCAAAATAAGATAAATCTGACACACACACAGAATTCATTTGTGAGCTCCACCAGCAAGTATAAATGATAGGTTGATTGTATGTGGATTCTTTGTGAGTTGCAGATCCCTTTTGTATTGAGAATCCATTATTGAATGAGTTATATTGATACTCAGCTTCAGGACAGATTTTATGTCTAGATTGGAAATTTCCTCTGCATTTAATATCAAGTTTATTTAATAGGTTTGGGTTTGAAAAGTTTTTACTTTTGACATTTCTATGATGGTAGTTATCTGCATTGTCTTGAAAATATATTGGGATTGTATGCAAAAGAAGAATCACTATTCCTTGGTAAACTTAAATATACTGAATTTTTTGTAGTAAAGAAGGGACAGGCAAAAAAAAAAAACCAAAAAAACCCGCTGTGCATTCGGTGGTACTTAGCTGTCATTTACTACCTACAGTAGAAAGCAGAATACTAGATGCAAGAAGTAGCTTAGGTTTACATGTTTTAGTGAAAGCAAGATTGACAACTAGTGGCAAATGGCATGATGAGAAGGAGCCTTTGCTTTGATAGACCACTGCAAAATAAACAAATGACCAAGAAACTAACATGATTCTGTAGGTCAAATACACACATGTCAAGTTCAAACATAGATATTGATGTTCTGAATATATATGTAAAATATTGAAAGTCATAATGACAGTTCCATGCAGCAGTCAGTCTCTTACTGGGAAAAAGAATTCTATCAGTGTAAATACAAATACAGTTCTTCACACTCACTTTTGCACATTACTGGATTATTGTAATTTTTACATACTGAAATCTGAGGAATATTAACATTTGATGCTTCAGTCATTTGATTGTGAAAAAGGTTTTCTTTTTATTGTTTTTATTTTAACCAAAGGTAAATTAAAGTTAAAAATATGTTTATAAAAGACTACTTTTTTCTTTTCAGTCACTTAAGCCCCCATTTGGGGAAACTAAAATCCTTATTCTTCTGAGAGAAGCAATTTATACAGCAAACATTGTTATTCGTTATACCATGAAGTTTTTTAAAAAGTATAACATATCTAGCTTAGCAATAGGAGAAAATGGAATGTAACTGCTCTTCAACTCCAAGTAAAATAATATGCTCTGGTGAGAAAGCTTGTCTCTTTTAACAATCCTATCACAGGTCTAGAAATCCTTGGCAGTCATAGTTGGGTGAATTGTAAGCAATGTGTTCTAATGGGAGTACGGTTTGTCTGGCAGAAGGGGTGAATGATTTTAATACATCCTTTCTTTTGTTAAGGTATTTGGCTCACTAAGTATTTTTCAAGTAATTTTCCCCTCCATACTTTTTGCCTGCAGTCATCAAATTCTTGGTTTCATTCCTCTGAAGACAAATGAATTTATTTAAGGATCTTTAAAATGTCTAGAAAAGATGTCGAAAGCTCTTTGATACTTTGATAGGAAGAAAGAAGCTGAAATTTGCAAATATTTTGGCGTGGTTTAAGTTTTTAACTGTAACATTGTGAACAAGGCAGTTTTGTATGTTAATAACTTCTGTTTTGGTAATTTGGATTTCTCTCTGTCAAATTTAGTAGTGGATTTTTCAGATAAATAAATTATTTGTATGAGGTTTTAAACATGAATTATTTAAAAGTTGCTTATGAAAAAATTTCACTGTTCCGTAGACAAATTCTTAATTTCATGAGCATGATAGTTATAATCAAACAGCACAATACAGGAAAATAAAATCATTTTGTAATGTTCTTGAGGTTTAGTTTGAATAGGAGTGCACAGCATAGTTTGCAACTATTTACTTTGTAAAAGGCAAGTGCTCTCTGGTGTTTTTTTGTAAAAATGTTTGTGTGGGTGTGTGTGGGTGGGTGTGGGTGGGTGGGTGGTCAGTCATGAGGCCTGAATTCTGGGCCTGGGTGCTGTCCCTCATCTCTTCAGCTCAAGGCTAGCGCTCTACCACTTGAGCCACAGCGCCATTTCCGGCCTTTTTTTTTCTTTTTGCTTATGTGGTACTGAGGAATCAAACCCAGGGCCTCATGCACGCAAGGCAAGCGCTCTACCACTGAGCCACCTTCCCAGCCCTGGTTTTATGTGTCTTATGAAAATAACTTCTCAACTCTGGAAATCTCCCCTTTTCCTTCTACTCTTAGTTTTAGTCATTTTAATGACTTTCTTGAAATGTGACTGCAAATAATACTCAAGAGAATGTAGGTAACTCAATGGTACAGTTATTGTAGAATATTTAAATGAGATAAAGTTTTAAATTGTGAACACCTCAGCCTCTGCTGAAATTTCAGTTGGTTCTCTGACAGCATCTGTACTTTTAATTGTTGCTTTATGGGTAGAAAGCTACATTGAACTCAATTGGTTATGAAGAAACAGCAGGGAAAGCTGGTCCCTAGTGACTCAGGCCTACAATCCTAGCTCTTCAGGAGGCTGATGCATAAGGATCTTGTATAGGTCCCTGAGTTTGGTCCCCAGTATTGCTAAGAAAAAGAAAATCTACAAAATAATATCAAAATAAGTTTGAAATAAATTCTTTGAAAAACACCTAACTGAGGGCTGGGAATGTGGCTTAGTGATAGAGTGCTTGCTTCGCATGCATGAGGCCCTTGTTGATTCCTCATAAACAGAAAGTGGCGCTGTGGCTCAAGTGGTAGCCTTGAGCAATTAAGAAGCTCAGGGACAGTGCCCAGGCCGAGTTCAAGCCCTAGGGCTGGCAAAAAAGAAAAAGAAAAAAAGAAAAACCACTAACGGTGTAAAGATCCCACTGAGCTACTTTTCTTGCATCACAAAAATAATCGAGTTAATATGCTATTTTTATAACATGTGTACTCTGCACTTTTGGCAAAGAAGTGTGTGTGTGTGTGTGTGTGTGTGTGTGTGTGTGTGTGTGTGTGTGTGTGTGTGTGTGTGTGTGTGTGT